AAGAACTGGTTCATCTCATTGAACTAAATTTGTCTGTGGTATTCCCCATTTTTCATATTCTTGGCACGAACCTATGACCTGTATCCCCATATTTACAGGTACGTTTTGAAATGCTTTTGCACTGTTGCTACTTCAGTTCCTTGCTAATAAGTTTTTTCACAAATAGGAAGGAAAGTCTCCCAATCAAACAGATTGTCCGCCTAGTAAAATTGGCTAAACAGCCAATCCTAAACCATTTTACATTAAAGTTAGTTCCAGTAAATAGGGCTGCCGCTGACTTGCCAACTAGCTTATTGTAAATTTCGTGCTGGATAGCCAATTTACTTGGAAATCAATGCCGAATTTCGTAGACAGAAGACCTACATAGCATACTACACTCGCAAGGAAATCTTAAGCAGAAGATGTGTAATGTGTAGTGTCAGCAAACTAAGAAGTATGCAAAGGCAGCAAGCTCGGGAGTAATAGATGAACTAAGATCCTGCCCAGCAGAAGCGCTAAATCCAACCCTTAATTTAGTCCCTATTGACCGAGAGGCGATCTCTCTATACACCGGCGGATTCAAGATGAATTGCGATGTGGGAGTGGAGGCCTACTCCGAGGAACTCGGCGTTGCTCTATATCTTCGATTGGGAAATGAAACAAGCATCTTCCAACCAGAAGCTCTGAGGATCCTAGATGCCTGTAAAATTCTAGGCAATAGAGTCGGCTAAAAGAGTAAAACCACAATATATTCTGCAATCCAGATGGCGCTATTAGCAATAGCGTCACTGCTTACCATATCCAAGATAGTTAGATAATGCAAAGTGTGGGTTCCCGGTCATAGGAACACATAATGCAATGAGAACGCCCATGAGCTGGCGAAGTTAGGAGACGGTTTGGATGAATTCGAAGCAGTGACACTGGGCTGAATTCTTTGAATACTCCAAAAGAAAGATTAATTCGCATTCCTTGAACTGGCTAGACGCAGGTGGTCAGATGAACAGACTTGTAAGATATCTAAAAAACTATGGCCTGACCACAATAGTAAGAGGACCTTGGACCTGCTCCGCAGATGAAGGCCTGATGTATTCAGAAATGTTGCAACCATCACGGGGCACTGGACTTTAGGCAAACATGCGGCAAGAATATTTCCACCACATAATAACATTTGTCGCAGCTGTCAACCAGACGATAGCAAAAGAGTATTTCCTTTGTGAATGTTCACGACTTTCGAATATTAGACCCAAAACATTTATACGAAAAGCGAGCGACCTTTAAATATTTTTTGACTTCAAAAAAGAAATAGGGGTATATTTTTTCGGGTATAGGACAATCCTAGGGGGAGAGCATAAAAATTTTGACTTTACTTTTTCACATGAATTTTTGCGCATAGACAAAATATCCCCCGGGAGTAATTCATCAAAATGGTGTCCTGGACAGCTGCTAGGAAGCACTGAGACTAACTAAATTTCATGAAGCCTTTACGTTTCCATTGCATTTCATTAGAAAATGTATTCAATCCACCGATATATTCACCAATGGACTACATACATACATAAGTCGCATAATTTAGATTTTAATTAATTATTTAGAGTATATATATATTTTTTTAATTTACAACTATGTGGCCAGGTAAAAAACCTGAGGAAGAACCAGGCAGCAGTATCATAGGAATGCTTTATGTAATTGGTGAAGTCAAATTCAAGTTGCGTCATACCGACTGCTGGACATCATTGCCATAAAAACGAGCTCTGTTATCACAGAAATACGAAATGGAGCTATTGTGCGAGAGTCCAAAAATTTATCAATCTAAGCACAACAGTCTTCAAGCGTTAAAGCAATATATACACAAAGATTTCCATTCAGTTTATGATAATCTACCTCGATAAATACTTATGGCGTTTTCGTTTCTACAAAAAATGTTGCAATGAGAAGCCCTTTTCTTAATATTTATGCGTAGAGGGCAAAGAGAAGGTAAGCTTTTTTGGTCGAAACTAAACGCCATTAATTTTACATTTTTATGAAATTTACTATGTTATGCAAATTTGCATAATGTATACAAATGTGAAAGCATTTAATAAAAATTCAATGATATTTATATTGAAATTACTTCTCGTATATACGAGCTTTCATTGGATATCACCCATCGAAAAAAAAAAAGTGCATTGGGTCAAGGTAATATCCTGACCGAAAAAACAATTCGCATCTCTGGCAATTTCATCGTTTGTACAAAATATGTGTCCACTCACCACTTTGCATTAATTTTTATTACAAAAATCCAGTTAAAACGTTTTTGACCATTTTTCATTACATAACAGAAGCAACGGGCAGATGCATATAGGCTTTACGTGATTACGTGCCAAAAGGCAAGCATTTCAGTTCCAAAGGCAGTGTGGGAGGACACACTAACCACCTTGGTGAGGCCGAAACCTACTTAAGGTCTCTGCCGTTCTTTTGGTCCCGGCACCCGGTTGCAATGCAACTCCACATCGAACCCTTTTTGAGTTCTACCGCCTTTGGTATTAAACCACATCCCCCGCGATACTTCCCGAAGGGCCATACCTCAGTGAACAGACTGGGGTAGTGCTCACCAGCCAGACTTGCTTGACCATCTCGAGTCACGCAACCTACTAAACATACCAGACTACACATGCTCAATCGTACAACTAAGAAGGTCTGCTTTTATCACATATTCACCAATCTACGGTTTACCTCAAATATTTACACCGTGTTATCAACCCTTTCTCCACATTTTCCACAGTTCAACAGTTTTCAGCATTATCATCTAGCTCGTCTCGCTCCTCTCACAAGACTTACTAATCTCATTTCACCCCGGTGTCCCTATCCGGAGTGAAAGTCGACTTTTAACCCTTGTTCAAGTCACTTGACTCACCTGATTCATTCTGCTCGTCTCGCTACCCTCGCAGGTCCTACTAGTCTTACTGGGGAACAAATTCCAGCCCGGGTGTACAATAGGCATCGAAATGCTCCTTTTCAGGTTTTCTACACCTACTCAAGCAGCTTGACGAGCCACATTCTTTGTTGCAGAACTACCTAGCTATATGATTTTACATGTGCATCTGGCCTGTCTTTCGACCTTGTTAGTCTCACTGGCTTTGCTTATCTAGCCAGCGAACACACTCCAGGGGCATCTGTTCGCCCGCGGTTCCTCTTTGAAAGTCTTAGGTATGACTTCCGAAAGTCGTAGACTCTTCTACCAATTGAGCCTCTGACCGACTCAGGATTGGTAGCCTTTGACTAGGGTACCCGGGATTGTGACATCCGTAGCCCCGCAATGCGGAACCCCCCTGGGCTCGTTGGTACGGTAATCTCCACATCGGAAATTGCATAAGCAAATGTCCTACACAGGTTGCCATGCGGAGCATCCCTATTAGTTCATGCCGACATGGAAACCCCTAAGGGCCCCCATGTCACCAGGTAAGATCTAGCCCCACGACAAGGACACCAACGTTTCGCTAGATAGGAGCAACGGGCAGTTAACTAATCGAGTCCTGAACTTCTATACATTGCATCTAGGCCTAACGGCAGTATTATGTACAAATTGCATACGATTCCATACCGCCAAAAACAAATTTAAATCGTGTATAAAAACAGTTATGTGCTTTAAAGCGGCGCATATGTTGATCACGTCGTAATTGGTCAACAAATTTATTTTTTGTCCTAAATCAATAGCATATTTTTAATATATATTTTATTTTAATACGACACTTGCAAAATATTACCTATTGGCACCAGAAATCAGTTTCTTTGCTCTCCTGAAAAGTTATTAATAAACACATAACTGTAAGTAAAAGCCCCGTGTATTTTTTGATTGCTTTTTGGTACATTAGCATGAAAATAGGCGATAATTTCGTTTGGTTGACATCCTGAAGTTACACCATTTCGTCTTTGATGACATTCTGCTGTACTAGTGTAGAGACAAAGATATCATATCAGCAAATGCAAGTAGCACCATAGATATATTATAGATGCGCCTTGCTATGAAGTGTGAAACCGCTGATCAATGCAAAAAATAAACCAAGAACGAAAAGAAAAAAAAATGAATTCTAGAGTTCACTCTTTGATGCGAAAGTGTGTGCGTTCGAGCGAAAGTGCGAAAATCGGCAGCTTTTTACAACAAACATACGGCACCGTTATGGCGCCGTTTCACACAAACACGCACAGAAAAGCAACAAAACAAACGCCACTTTTAGCCTTTCACATTTTCGCATCAAAGAGTGAACTCTACTAATATGTATAATAATTAACTTCATTATGACGACTACATCATCATCATAACAGTTTAATAGTGATTATGACTAAAACAATTATGTTATTTGTATGCTTAACTGCTGTTAAAATATTCTAATACGTACATACATACATATTTACTCATTGAGAATACCCGCTTTATGATAGCAGAAGCGATAACCCCATCGCTTTGGCGATCAGCAAAACATTTGAGAATGATTAAAGCGACGCTTACGCAAGTGGCAGTCGCAGGGGAGGGGGTGGGGGTGGTGTAGCAGACGCTTGCTGGGCATTAGCAGATGTCAAGGGAAGGTAAGGTAAGGTAAGGTACCCAAGCGACTTTTATCGGCAGTGTCTTCTTCAATATCGACTCGACTTGCGAGCCAAACCTGTTGATGGATGCTATGAGAGTTGTTGCTTCGCAGTTGTTTTTGCTCTACTCTTAAGTTTGTTTCTGCTGTTAGTTAGTGTTGATGTTGTTTTTGTTTTTGAACTAAGGTGTGCATTGGTGTTTGTATTGTCTTGGTCGTTTTGCTTTTTCGATTATTGCTGTCGTTGCTGCTGAAGCAGTCGGCGTTGTCAACAGCATCTCCGCGTTGATCACAACAACAATGCGCTTTAAGCTTTGAAAATTCATATATAAATGTGAATTTGTCACAACGATTCTTGACAGTAAAATATCAAAATTTGTGCCGAACGTATCGTCGTTGAAGGGAGATCAATTTTGTTTTTTTTGTGACGATAATTATTGAAAGTGTGAATTGAAGTCAAAGAATTAAGACAAATAATAGGAAGAATCATACACGAATATTCGCTAATCAGTTAATAAGTGCTGAAACATTAAAGATTATTTTGAGCGAATGCAGTGTTAATAACTGGTACGAATTTGTGAATTTTTATTAATTTACTAATAAATTTTTGGCTTTATAATAACTAAGTAAAGCAAGTGAAACGAGAAACTGTGAACCAGCATTGGGTATTAAACGGAACTAGCGACAACTGTGCTAAACACACAAAAAAAAACTCAAAACATAAATTTTTCCATACTTCTTTTTTTTTTAAATTTGGTGTGCCCATTTAGAGGTGTGTCAACGTTGACAGTCTTGTAAATATTATTACAAGGACAGCGTACTGATTTACTTTGTGCGACCTTGAGTTGAAGTGTTTTGAATACAAGTAAATTGCAGCTATGGCCAAAGTAAGTATGAAAAATATTGCAATCAAGTTAGAGTTAATTATTTGCAAAAACACAAACATTTTATGGCATATTGTTAAAAAATAAAATTATTCAAAAAACTGAAAGGAAGTCTTAAGTCTGGTCTGGTTGAAAGATGGCTTGGCATTAATGGGAATGGTGCAGATTTTCTTCGTATTAACGAGTTTGAAATGTGCAATTCTTCTTCACACTGCCATCACAGCAGCAGTGTTTAGACTGCATCAGACTTTTAGAACCGTTACCGACTTTGTGAACACTTTTAAGTTCCGTTTGGTTTTCTGGTATTGTTATTGTAGCTAAGGACACGATATCGAACCGAAAGTATCGACATGGTACTCATTTAAAGTATCACTTTAAAAATATCGGGTACCCATTAATATCGGAATAACAAGGCTCGATATTCCAAATATCGATATCAAAATCCAAAAATTGTATCCAAATATAGGTATAGAAGTGCGAAAACCTTGAAAATACAATCGCCGTTTAGAGTCGACATAAGAGAAGAGTTGTTAACCTTATAATGTGAGTTTATGACATTCGATATGATATTAGGGTTCTGGTACTCGATTCCAAAAAATATCGTTTTAAAACAATCGAGTAGAAAATATCGGCATCGAATGCTAAAGAAATTCGTGTCCCTAACTGTAGCTTCATTTCAAAGCCCTGCCTAAATGGGATAGTCTATTAATCGTTGTCGTGAAGTTTAACTAATAGAAACATGCTGTGTCGACGGAGTCGGCCCAAAGGGAGAGGGGTCTTAGATGAGTGAGCCGGCGAAGAGATGTTTGGTGTCGTTGGGAGAGCTTCCACAAGCCCTACATATGTTTGTTATGACGGGCAGAGTCTAGATAGCTGCGATATCAGTCGACTTCAATATCCAGACCCTAACTACGCCAGAGTGACGCTGCTATTTAGCGGCAGTTCTGTCATCTGTTTCAATGTCCGTTTATATGTAATGGAATTGAATAGCCAGCAATGGATTGTGGAAAGCTGGAAAGCTCAGATTGATTGATGACCCCAAGACTGGACATGGGATCGGAGCGGGGACTCCTTTTTACTAGAATGGCAAGAGCTAGTCTTTATGTCCCGGCTGGGGTGCACACTTTTTTAGAAATGTAGGAGGTAGGACATAGAAAATGGGTGACCAATAAACACATCTACATAAATTTTAACCGGAGCGCCGCGCAGTGGTTCGAATAGAGCAAGCTAGTTGGACAAAACTATTTAGCTGGATTTTCTGACTAACATTGCTGTATCTAATCACATTATGTACATTTAGTGCAATAAAATTGTAATCGGAGCTTATCGTCTAATTATAAACATATATATATATATATATATATATATATATATGTATGTTCACATATACTCTGTGCACGTTTTCGAACACTCCGAAACCGCTGATGGATATGATTTTGATGTTATTAATATAAATACTCTGGCGTAGTCTGGAGATGGTTCCTGTAAAGTTTAGCCCCTATTGGACTCAAAGTAAAGAGTTGCCACCCACGTAAAAAAAAAAAAAATTTGTAAAAGTTAAATGAAATACTACGAAATTCGTATCAACTGAAAGGTCTTATACCTATAAAATAAAAGAGTTTCCAGCTGTTAAGAAATAATTTTTAAAATATCAAAAACAATTTAAAAACTTTGCACATAAGATTAAATAAAAAATCCATCTCGTGCTGGAACAATAAAATCTTTCTTTACTCAGATTAATTACAGTGTCCAAGTTGAAAATTTAGGCCACGGTTCTGATAGTTGATGATAACGAATCTACCAAATACTCTTAGATCTCTACAAAGCTGATTCACAGTGTGATTTCACACCGGCGCGCATGGTGGTGCACATCAGAATCCTTTGCTATGATGTTCTTTTTGACCACGTGTACCAGGTTCTTTACCATAAAGGTTGTTTATGCTGATTTCTCTGAGGCTAGCACCCTAATTATTGACCAAAGAGTGAATAGTGGACAGATACCAGTCATGTCCCAAAAACTCTTATAAAAGCCCCTTCTATTTAGGTGTGCCTTCCTTACTTTATCGTCATCAGATACGCGCCATTCGGACCAGCTGATTTGAAAGTCGTTAAAAGAGGTGACTTAAAGAGTTAAACACACTGACTCCTCAGTTTCCAAGTGTACCAGTTTAGTTTAGTAGCTTTTCCTGCCGTGCTATTTACTTTCACTTGAGCAATGATCCTGCTGCCCAGAAGATAGGGATCCTTTGCATTTGATGTAGGATGCGACGCATTTGATGCGAAGACGACACCACTTTATGGGAGCTTGGTGCCAGTTAAAATCATTGAAAACGTGTCAAGCTAACAACTTGCGATAGCTTATTCAATTTCGGGCAGCGCAAATCTCGTATATCCCATATAATAATCTTTACAATTCATTAAAGCCAAATTAAACGTGTAACGGTAAATTCAGCAGGTTTAAAACGTATTCCTGTTGATTTTACACATAAGTACATACATACATATGTACATTAGCTCAAATTATACATTCATATCCAATTACAATTGCCACATTAAAATGCAAGCCAAATTGAAAAGCAATTTGAAAGCGGATCTTTGGCTACAATTTATAGCTGAGCGATTTAAATTATCTACAATTTTATGCGTTTAACATTTTTTTTTTTATTTGGACTTGCAATCCAAAAAACGACATTCTAGTAGATTAATCTGAGTTTGGCGCTTGAAAAGGTAGTTCAATTAAAATTTATATAGGTTTATACATATGCACATATGTATGTATGTATACTTTCTCATTAATTTTATTTATGTGTAAATTCTCGTATGTTCGCTTTATATTCTATTTATTTGTATCAGCGAGACGATTAAGCAGATTATCGTGCAGATATTAATTTTAATTAAATTGATAAAATGAGATTAAACCAATTTTTTTGGTCAATGGTGTTAAAAAAGGTTTTCATAATTATAATGAATGAATAAAAAATGTATACATACGTCAATCAAAAAAAAAAATAATAATAATAATTCTGTGTACTTGTCTCGCAAGTGTAATTAATGTGGAATAATATAAAAATTGTTATTTTGCGATTTACCGTAAATCTACACTTAAAAATTCAATATTGAACTGGGTCTACTCGTTTATAATTATTTTATAAAGGGGATAATAAGTGGATTTTCTGGCATTTTTCAATCATGCACAACATACACAGCAGGAAAAAAACTCGACGTTTTGTAATCTCGTTCAGTAGCTCCAAGTCAGCTAGAATCGGTGCTCACTCTATGACTTTTCGACTTTTGTGTGCTGAATATTTGATGGTAACATCACTTTAAATCCTACATAAACTAAATACTTTTTTATTTTTAAAATATTTTTATTGAGCTAGACTTCAGCAGGGAAAAAAGAAAATCTGATGAGGAGATGTGGTGATCTCCGAAATAGTGCTATAACTTCTACCGCTTAGACTTTGTTGCTTTTTCAATTTTTCCTAATAAACAATCGTGGTACAAAGCTCAATAAAAATATTAAAAATAAAATGTTAACAAGCTACAATAACATTGACAAATAAATACTTTTTTATTTCTTAAGGTGAAGGCTTTTGATCAATTTTCGCTTTCATATTTTGAATCAGTGTACTTCCAAAATTTTTGCAAAACAACTTTTTATTAGGTTACTAAACTATAAATCTACAACAAATGTAACCAGCAATAGAAATTTCATATGCATACATACATACGTATGTACATATCATCGCCTGGGTAAAAGATTGTCGAATGTTACTTTCGGCAGGATTTGGGAAATTGCGATTGAAGTTTGGAATGCAATTTCTCAAAAAAAAAAAAAAAAAGATTTTCTCCAAAACCTCGGAGAATGTTAGTTTTTCATAAAATTCTTAAATTATTTTACTTCTATTTATTCTTCATTGTGAATTAGTTTTGATTTTATGAGTTAGTAAAATTTTGTCAACAATTTGGCAGCCACTTTGTGTATAATACGACAAAATCTAAATTAACGGTGCTTTTTATTCAATACTAAAGGAGATTTCCAAAAATTTTAAAGACCTTGATTAGTTTGGTATGATTGTATTATTAACTAAATTTTTACTAAGTTACCGAAGTAGGTTTGGTTAATATCTCGGAAACTAAAGGAGATATCCAATAGCTGGTAACACCAATCCAAAATCGTATTTTAAAATATATAGCTTCATCTATAACTAAAAACCGTCAAAATGGCGCCTACGACAATTTTTATCCAGGCGACATACATATGTACATATGCGTGTATGTATATCTATGTATATAATACGAGAAAGGATTTTTTGTTCGGGATAAAATATCTGTACCGTTCGCCCGATTTTCAAAAATGAAATGTCAAGTTAAAGCGCTTGGTCTGTAGATGTGCAAACTGGTTTTAATTTTTCGAAAAGAGTTGCCGCCTGTTAAATAATTACAGTCAAGTGATATATATAATTTATTATTTCGTTCGATTTTCAAAAGTGTGTGTGTGTGTGTGAAATTAAAGGACTTAAGGTGCGGATGTTCAATAAGGTTTTTCTTTTTCGAAAAGAGTTGCCACCAGTTAAGAAATTAGGCTCAAATTATTGAAAAAGTTAAGTGAATTGTTCCAATATGGGTATCAACCGAGATGGTTTTGAAAAAGCCTTATATCTTAACTACGTGTAGGAGGGTTGCCACATGTTTAAAAAATGTAATTCAATTTTAATTAAAGCAATTTGGTAATATGGGTGTCAGACAAAAGAGGTTTAAGACGGTAGTAGGTTGAAAATATTTTGAAGAGGGTTGCCACATATTTGAGAATTCGAACTAAATTATTTTAAGAAATATTTAGTTACAATTTAGAATATTTTTTATGGGTTTTAAGGTTGCCCCAGTTGAAAAGCTTACATTAAAATTATTTAATAAATTAGGTGAATTACTAAACGATGGTTATCGATGGGGTTAAAATCCTTTATTTCAGAACTATAGTTAGGAGGGTTGCCACGTGTTTA